GCGAGTCTGAACAACAGCGCGGCAGCCTGTTTGTACGAAGCACGACAAACGCTCTGCTCCCAAAGTGGCTCCGCGTCACATAACCCCCCCTTGCAGATGGGGCAAGGACAGAAGTCAAAGGTCTTCTACTTTCCCACTCGGTTTGAAATCATGAATTGCGTTTACAGGACTTCAGAGAGAGGCGCCAGTGGCAAACCCACCTCGGCTCGCAGCCTGTTCAATCCCCCACTCACCCCTCGCAAACAAGCATGCGCTCCCGTTAGCCAGCGCTGTCCTGGTGTTTCCACTCGGAGCCGCAGCAGCAGGGCAAAGGGTTACCACAAAATGCATCGACTGTGTGTGCGAGCACAGGGCTGCCAAGTATGGAAATCCGCGATCGATTCCCCCCTTCATGCAGCGAGGGTAACTAAGCCCGCTCTAAGAACAGAGAGGGAGAGTGCTCTTTTGGGAAAGAGATTCCCATTAATTCTAGCAGCAACAGGTTCCCAAACAGCAGTTTCTCGTTTGGAAGTAACGGGAGTGATTGAAAGCACTAGCACTGACACTAAGGAATTCACACGTTGCACACTGGCTGGACCGATTCCCCTCTTCTCCTTTCCTCCACAAAATCCGTCTGTCTGCAATGCAGTTCAGCAGTGGGACAGTTAAATAGAAAAGGGAAACCTGGTTCTGGCGCCAGATCCCACACCACTTCCACAATCTTCCAGCAAACAAACAAACATATATATATTATTATATATACACACACACACGCGCGTAGACACATACACACAGGTAGGACAGAAGGGAAAGGGGAAGAGCTGGAACAGGAGAATCCCACAATCCAGCGGTACGTCCTCAAGGTCTGTCCGCCGAGCAGTGTTCCACGCCCCAGCCTCCAAAGTGCACGGCTCCTGCGTCCTCCCCGCCTCAGCCCACCCCGAATCTGCGTCTCTGTTGGGGAAGAGTCGGCAACGGCTGCTCCCCCACGGCTTCCAGGCTGGGACTTTAATTTGACGTGGCAGTGATGGGTTTATCGAGTTCCAGATCAAGGCTGGAGCTGCTGGGGTGCAAGCTGCTGTAGCACGATTTGCAGACTCTGCTGGGTTCAAAGAGCTGCTGGCTGGGAACGGGCACCTTCTGGTTACAGCAGCTGGAGCAGAACACATTTCCACAATTCCTTGCATCAGGAAGAGAGGAGAAATGCAAAAGAAACAATTAGAAGCAGTTGGACAAAGTTACCCAAGGTCTAAAATGATGTTCGCAGTGTTGTGATGGGGTCGGCCCTGGGGGCTGCAGTTGCTCCTCCCCAAGTACCAGGATGCAGGCAAAGACAACACTCCGCTTCCAAAAGCGAAGCAGAGCTTTAGGGAAGGGACACCAGAAAAGAGCACACAGCAAATTGCAGCATGGAGCTGCAGCTGATGACACATCTCTGCAGCGATGGCTCTTCCGTACCACACCGTCTCATGTCATACTGGAGGGAACTTACCCCTCCATCACACAGGGAAGCTCTCTCCCTCCTGCAGGGGAGCTCGGGCACGGCGCTACTCGTGACTCTCCCCACTACCCTGGGGGCACACGGCTGAGAGAGGGGCTAAGGGGGAGCAGACACAGGGCCTTCCTCCACAGGGATGTGGGGAACGTGGTGTCCGGCCCCTGCTCGCACCACTGATCCAGCTCTATGTTAAGAGACAGATCGGATACTGCTGGCCTGGCAGCAGGGAGGAGCCTCTGCTCCTTTGCTCTTCTAAAAGCGTGTGCTGCTGGGTACCAGCACACAGACATTTTCTTCTGTTCCTTTCAAGCGCACTGCTGGGAAGTTTAAACATGGGACAGATGGGAAAAAAAAAAAATAAAACCCAGTTTTGGTTGATGCAATCCTCCCATTGTCCCAACAGCGCAGTCCCTTTCGCAGCGCTGCCGGCAACCCCACGCTTCTGCATAAAGTAAACTGAGTCAAGAAGGATCATGCAAAGCCGTGAGACGGGCAGCCAGGTATTTCATGCGCCGAGGCGGCAGTGACACGGCAGCAGGGGGGGCAGCCTCACACGCATTCTCGTCAGATGGCAGCCGGTGGAGGCGTGCTGGTGCGTGCACCTCGCAGGAGGCAGGGATAAAATGTACATCTGGAAAACCGTTACCTTCTCTTCTTGCAGTCTCCCCCCCCAACCAAACCCGCTGCTGCTCAAGCTAGCCTGGTGAGCGCTGCAGTGCCCTGTCCTCCAGCCTCATCCCTTCTCCTAAGGAGTTCGGAACAGCGCTCCAAGGGACCTGAGTTTTACAAGTTTACCGCCACGCCTGACACCCTTTTCATTAACTCTTTGGCATCAGGATATTGTGCCATTATTGTTTTGTGCTAGAAAAGATTTGCTGCTGCCAAGAGACTGACAGAGAATTCTGCCTACACCCAGCAGCTCTGATTAATCCTTCCTTGCCAGGAGAGGAGATTTCCAGATGCTGGCCACTGATGGGGAAAGAGCCAGCAGAGAAATCCCATTTCTCACTTCCATGGGCTCATTTTCTCAGCTCTGCACAGCGGTTCCTGGTCTCAAAGCTGCAGCCCTAGCGCTGACAATGGGCAGCCTTTCTGCAGGGGGTTTTGACAGCGTCTTAAGGACCCTGTTAGAAAACTATCATCAGAAAAACCAAGAGCAAAAACAGGGCTGTGAGGTGTCAGGCAGAAACAGCCTGCAGGAAAGCAGTTCCAACGTCCCGCATCTCTGCCGCTCAGAGAACGATCATCCAGCAGACGCTGGCTGTTGACAGATGAGGTCAAAAAAGACCCAGAGGGATTACAACAAGTATCTGGTTGTTGTCGCTCGCCAGCTTTCTAACATATGCTCGGGGTTTTTTGTTGTTTTAGCCTCCTGTGTTAGATAATAGCGCTCTGTAACTCTTCCCCCCCGAGCTTTGGAAAGCTCTGAACAGCTCATTCTTTCTATCCCGGTGGTCCTCTGCTTTGCTTGAGAGATTAACAAGGGACATTAAAAAACACAGGAAAAGCAATCTCACTCCTTTGAGGAACGAGGACTTAAACCCATGCTACTACCACCTCCTATTCTTACTAAATCACGGCTGTTTATCCATTTTTGGTGATCCTAACCCTCCAGCAGCTTTGCATTACCTGTTACTGCCACGGTATTTTTAGTCCTTCTAAAATAAGCGGCAAGTTTTTGTCAACACACCACACAGCGATACTGGAATTGTTTTGTAACACATGGACCTCGCCCAAAAAATACGGCAAAAAGGGAAAATAAACAAAGAAATGCGTAAGGCTAAACTCAAAGGAGTCTCTTCTCAGTTAGAAGGGGAGCATTCACTGTTACTCAAACACACGACTTAACTGACGGTGAGCGTTAGTGCCATCCACATCCCAGTTTAAGCTACTGAAAGCCAAATCCTGAACACCTTTCTGTGGGAAGAGTGGCCTGCTGATACGGATCGAAACGTCCGACAGCTTGTGCTAGCCACCCACAACCTCCTCCTAGTGATTTCTAGGCAAGTGAAAAAACAAAGAGGGGGAACAGACTGAGTTAGTTTGGAGAAGTTACCAAGAAAACGCAGACAGACAACAGACACAGGCTGTTGTAAATGCTCACCAGATTGCATCAACGCGTTCAGCGTCCCTGCAAGGAGGGGAGAAAGAGCTCAGAGGGGAACTGGCGGCAGCAGCAAACGGGGTGATGAAGGAAGCTGGCTGGTTTCATCCTGCTCAGGGCTCACAGCATATGGTTTTCAACTCATTTTCACTCTCAGGTAAGATGTTGAACAGACTGCCACCGACTGAGGTTTTGGAAAACGGAACTCTGGGAATAGTTGATGTTCTTGTTGGTTGCCCCATTCCTTACTGGTCTCGACCATAAACAACCAGAGCTTACATGGACAGTCTGGTCAACATTAGACATTGGGAAGGTGAAGAAACAAAGACACTAAAGGGAAATTCTGCAACCAAACTCGAACCCCTGAGTCCATTTGAACTCCTCATGGTGCTGGGGGTGTCCTCTGTGTATCCACGCGCTAGGAGTTCTCCATAGCCCAGGCCTAGGAAGCAGCAACGTCGCTGCCAACGTCAGCCTGGGGAGGCAGGGCTGCGTGGGTACACTTCACAACAGGTACCACAGAGGAAAACACCACTTTAACCCCTATAAAACCCTTCAGATGCGTACAACCATATGCTTAGTAATTGTGGTTTTCATCTGAAGCCTTAAATCACACAAATTCACAGAAGCACAGTGGATGTGAAAAAATAAAATCAAAGCCATTCAACTTCTATTCATTTTTTTCCCTGGGCTTGTTTGTCTTTACAACAAGACTAAACGGAGCAAAATACAAAATGGACATGAACCAAGAAAGATGTTTGTAATTCTCTACAACTTCAAAAAGCAACGAAGTATCAAAACGTGGTCACTGCCAATTGTTTAAATGACCACTCCTGGAATCGTTTGCTCATGTCCAGAAATCAGGAATAGGGATTTGTGTGAAATGTAACTTAGAAATCTGAGATGAATGATCTGATCAAAAGGCCTCTGCCACCTGCTCTTCATTAAGCCCCTGCTGCCTGCATTATCTGTGGCAGCCTCTGCTGGCAATATGTTTGGCAAAGAATACTCCAGTACTCCAGAAAACTTTTATTCCACATCGGTGTCCTTTTCAGATGCTCTTACAAGAGCAATGGCAGGAAAAGGGAAGAATGGTTAGAGAAGGGAAGGAGCAGGGTTACAAGCAGTAAGAAGACACTATTCATGTATTTGCAATACTGAATTACTGAATGCTAAGATGACAAACCAGTATTTTTTTATTATTTACACCCTCTTAAAAAGCTGAACAGCCAGCTGCTTCCAAATCCAGTTTGAGGGAAAGGCGGGACCTACTTAGGCTGTGGAGGAGCAAGTACCAAATCTGGCTTTTGAAATACGTGCTCTGCACGACCTGGGACTGAACAGGAGAAACTGTTCTGTTCTCCGAAAGCTCTCTGTTCCTTTGGGAACGTGCACAGTCCTACTCTAAAACACTTTGTCTGACATCCATCCTTGAGAAAGGAGCTATGTGTCAAAAGGAAACCCCTTCCTCATTTAATGGGAGAGGGACCAATTCAAGCCGTGCCCGTGCCTCCATCCCTCCTGTCCTCTGCGGATGCCCGCATTACCTGCAGTGGTGCTTCCTGCTGGCAAGCCAGAACGTACTGTCGCAGCCGTAGCAGTGTGCAGCGAGGTGGTCTGGAAGCCATCGGGTCACCTGGGAGAAATAAAAGCCAAATTTATCAAGGAGAGGGGCAGTTAACTGGAAACAAACCCATCTCACTTGCACTCACAAATTCAAAGCAAAGCACGAGAGAAGTGCTTGTTTTATTTTAAGAGCATAAATTCAGCGTTTGCAACAATTGCAGATTGACAACAGAAACCTTCCCTTTGAGAGCAGATACGCTAAATTCCCCTCAGACAAACAGAAATTAAGTCATAAAGTCCAATTCCCTGTTTTGTTTTTTTTTTCCCCCTGTGCTTTAAAAGTATCCAGGCCAAGAACATTCACCAAGCGCGTGTCCTTTAGCTAACCATCCCTTCCACAGCTCCTCAGAGTTCATACGCAGACAGCAGAGGGCTCATAGGCACAGGTACTGATATTTGAAGTATGAGAGCCAAGTGAAACACAAGGAAGAGAGTTCTCAAGAAGTGGTACGTGACCAAAGGCTGTAGGCTAATTTGTGTTATGAATATCCCATCCTACCAGAAGAATGAGCAATTTACAGGGATTTAGTCTGTACCTCTGTGTCCTGTTTATCCACCTGTTCCCAGCTGGCTTCAGAGAAAATCTCTGTGCTGCAGCGAGACAAGCAGTTCTGATCCAGATTGCTTTCCGAGTCGGGTATAGAAGTCTGTTGGCAAACAAACACAGCTGAACAGAACCTTCCCATATTCCTACTTCCACACAAATAAAAACTGGGCAGTCATGGGGGGGAGCAGACAGAGCACCTCCTGCTAAGAAAGAGCAGGGTATGTCTGCACTGGGAGGGCAAATGTCGCAACCAGTCAACTACCTACGGTGCACATGGGGCAGCAAAGGCGAGAATTCCTTCATGAATGGGACTAGAAATGCCACACGCTGAAACAGTTTGTGCAGCGGTGAATTTAAAAAAATACAACAAACAAACAAAAAACCAAGCAAAAAAGCCCCCAACAGGTCAGGTTTTGACCCTCTGATGACAGGATGATGCGAGGTAGAATGGATTTAAAACCTGTTTGCTGCTGCATTAGCACAAAGCTCTGGCAACGTGTTGGGTAATTAACCCAAAAAGCTGCTCTCTGCGGCTCCAACTTCACGGTTGCATTTCCTTCCCGAGGTTCACTTTCTAAACTAATACTAGTATATATGTCCTTTTGTCGGCAAAAATTTGGGGACATACAAGCCAAATCACACACAGCAAACTCAGAATCTGAACCACAGAAATTCCATATGTAGCTTTGGGGGAATAATGCTTCCTTAACATAGCCTAGCCAGGCAGAGTTGTATTTTAACTGGCTTAAAACTCAGCCAGCCCTTAAGGTACATTAAAAATAGCAAGGAATCTTGCGTTCATATCTCTGTATGCCTGAGGAATGGGCACCTCCAGAGCTCCAGAAGAAAACCCGGTACTCCCAAGCTGAGGCAACAAATAGAAGGTAGAGGCTAGATTCTGAAAAATGGTGGATTTTCTGGAGGACAGCATGCTCTCACACCCAGCCCTACAGTTTGTGAAGGCCCTTAAAAATGGGAGGATCACAACTTCAGCCGAATCGCCAACTTTCTCCAAGGAATCCAAGCTTTTGCCAGTGGCAGAAGCCACAGCCAACTGAAACGATGCTGAGCCGAAATGGATGCCCGAGAGGAGCACTTGGTGCTGTTATCGACAATGCGAACAGCCAAGAAAGCTCTGAGTATTTTTCACAACAGATGTACCTGGGACTATCCAGCACCTCTGCCACTTCTAAACAATATTAAATTAAACAAACAAAAGTCGGAAACCTCTTGTAATATTTTTACTTTTCAGCCTCAATTTTGCAGGCACGTAAAACACATGACAATGGGCACGCAGGAAAAGGGAATTTCTGACGGGTGTTAGGTCAACCTCCAGAACTGCAGGCCCATGCTCTGCCCCATGGTCAAACCCACAGGAAGATCCAAACTCCGTTTCAGGGATTCTATGTCTCCTCACCCTCCCTTTCATGCCCCTTTCCTCCTGCTGTGCCTCCCTGCTTCCCCAAGCAGCTCTCTCCCCTCTTCATTTCTTTTATTTAACTAATAACCCCAGCCCTCTGAAAACCAGGTTCTGCAGCCATCTGCAGAATTGCTCTGTGCTCGAAGGCCTCTACAGAACAGGACTCCTGCTCGTTCGCTAAATCGGTGCTACCTTCCAGCCACCATATAAGGTCAGTGACTATTTCTTTTGACTTTTTATTACTATTTATTAGTCAAAAGAGGAGGAAAAATTAGGTAAAAAACAGGTAGGGGAGAAGCAACTTAAAAATCCACCCAAGATGTAGAGAGACACACAGAAAACTCGCCAGCTACTGAGATCTTGAACTTGGAATTATACTTCATTTCTGATTTTAAAATTTCTTTTGCAACCACAACTACATGGATCATTTAATTGCCACAGAAATTAGCGTACTGTATTTGAATACAAGTAATAAGTCAATTTAAAATTAAGCCTCTACTTTTGCGACTTTAAACACTTCCAAGTAAAAGCACAGTTTAAAAAGCTCCCCTAAAATTCTTAATTTGTTGAGAAAAATCCCCTCGTTGACGTGAGGCTGTCAGAAAAGCTCTTAATTTATTCCAGCTATTAAGCCCTGAGCAGGCGGTCTGAGAGGGGGACGGCTTGAAGTTCACAGGGTTGAGCTAACAGAGCAGCCACTGCCAGCTCCTTCTTACCCCAAGCACGCACAGCACCAAGAGATCAGGTCCTACACTCCTGTCCCAATAAATGACATTCACATCCTTTGAAAAGTTGCCCATATATGAAAGCAACAGTAAAACAAATGGGTTTTTTTAATAAGGCCAATGAAGGTTTTTAAGCATGTCCAGGTATGTGCGAGTACGCTGTGAAACACCCATCCTGAAATGACCCTTTGCTACATTTATGGTCAAACTGGAATAGAGTGAAAATATTAGTCATCATTAATTGCCACTTGCTGTGTACTCAGTCAGTCGTTTGTCCTTTTCAGAATGACCTTGAGAGTTTTATAAAAGCCTGTATGGCCAAAAAATCACTACCTGACCAATGAACCAAGAGCTGACAATATGGCAAGACCCAGAACGTGACTAACTAGCCCACTGTTTCCAGCAGTGGCCCAATTACCATTTCACTTACCACTTCATCTCCGTAATCACCATTGAGACGTAAGGAGCTGTTCAGGAACTGGCTCTCCAACCGGCTCTTCAACTCCTGCACTTGCTTCTTCAAGGTCTCCACTTCCT